TTTGATGCTACATACTGAGTATATGCCCCCTCAGCATTTTTTTGGTATTAGATAATGAGACCTTATTTTTCCTACTAATATGAAAATATTCAGCATTTCTACCCATTTTTCCTAAAGTATACATTTATTTACACAATGTATCTAATGCATATATTTGCCATTCTTGCTGAAATTCAATTATATGCATTTTAACTATTCACATTTTAAAATGTGTCTAGTTTTGTGAGAACTAAAACATTGGTTTCGTCTTGAAAATGTGAATCCTGGAGGCTCACAAATTTTAAGGTGACAAAAGGACTACTTCCTACGAGCTTATTTGAATCCAATTTTCCCATCCCTAATTTCTGTAATTAATAATGGTATCTGTTAAGGACTTCCAATTTTTCTAGCCTGTATCCCCCCGCTTCATCCTATCCTGATTTCTAACCAACGGACAGGAGACAGTATGAGGGAAGGAAATCCATTATTGTGACTTGTTCCCCGCATTCACATATAACTCAGAGAAAAATCTGCTGCTTTGACTTTTGCAACATTGAATCTTTCCATTCAATCTCAATTTCACATGATACATCTTTGATGACCAGCCATGTAATAATGAGATCAGACAGAGAAAAATTGATTAAATAAGAGTCACTTTATTTATCCTAAAAACTATTTAATTTTCATTGAATTTGGTAAGGACCAAGAGATGGGAGTGATCAGGTGTCCAACTGTGGCCTAGTGTCAATCCCTGACAACTTCCTTTCCTAAGCTCTGAGGACAATCCAACAATTGATTTGCTCCCTGGCTGGCTATTGACTGGAGGGTAAATTAATGGGAACTACCACCCAAGTCCCACGACTTATAAAATAAGAGCAAACCCCAGATCAGCCTCAATAGTAGAAAGCCCTTCCCCATCTCTTGGGATTCAGAACCTAAAGAGGCAGTTCCAGAACCCTACTGTCACATTGTCAGGGCTCTACCTTGTTTAGGTAGAGATGAATCAAAACTCCCAGTTTAAACAAACAGTTTAATTAAAACAGCACTTACTTGCTGGCTGCTTTTATAGTCCAAAATATAAAACACAAAGATAACAGGCAGCTACAGAATAAACAAAACTGATAGCAAAAATAACTTCGTAGTCAAAAGTGTCCAGTCCAATGGTCAAATGCCGAGAGTTCAATAACAGAGTCCAGGGATCAAGAGTATACCGTAGTCAAAAGCCAGTCCAAAGGTTCAAGGTTCCAGGATTCCAAGATTACAGGAAACAGGTCAGGACACCGAAAATCCAACAGACCTGGGGGAAAAAAACAACAACATCCACCAAAATGCAACAAATACTTTTCTCCCAAAGATCAGTGCCAAGGCTACCTCCTTATATCCAGAAACACCCAGCTGCAACCCTTCTCTTGCATACCTCCACCCTTAATTGCTTTCACCCATGATCTCCCACTTACAGATTACCAAACCCTCTAGAACTAATACATTAACCCTTCCATCACAAACCATCAACTGCAGAACATATGACACCTATCCTTCACTACAAGGATGCCAAGGTGTACACTGAAGACATATTACCCCCCCCCCCCAAAAAAAGAACAACATACACACACACACTACCTGCCAGGAACAAAGAACAAGCATCTGCTTAGTCCGTTTTCTGAACCAAGATATCCAACATGGCCCTCACTTCAAGTTACTCTCTTCTGTATGGACCTGGCCACTAGAAAACTATGATGAGATGAGGGAGAAAGTGGCCAAACCCCTTAAACAAAACATTCCCAATTTCTCTATTTACCCTTCTATGGGCAAAATCAAGATGCCAAACTTAGTGGGGCAAAATATCAGAATTATCATACAAAGATTAATCCTGGCCATTTACTCTGTATGAACTGAAAATCATGCAGGACCAATATAATGAGGGCAAGGTGATCTCATTCTTATCAAAGTAAATGACAGAAATGTGAAGAAGGAACCCAGTGTACTTCTCAAACAATGAAGGACTCTTTCCTCAAGACTTCAGGTCCTCGGAGAGTCTCCACTGAGGCAGGGAGAGTGAAGGATGTTGGGAGAAGTTGCAAAAATTCCATTGCTTGAAATTGCATGTACAAATTGTTATGATTCCTATCACAGGCGGCCCTAGGTAATTTTCAACGGTAAGCAAACAGTATTTTGCCCCCCCCCCCCAACCAATCACTGATATATATATTTTCTGTTCGTCGTGGGAGTTCTGTGTGTCATATTTGGTTCAATTCCATCATTGGCGTTCAGAATGCTCTTTGATTGTAGGTGAACTATACATCCCAGTAACTACAACTCACATATGTCAAGGTCTATTTTCCCCAAGAGTGCCTCAAGAGCGCCCCTGGGCAAAATCAACTATACTGCAAATGCTTACTTTGTGTAATGGGTTGAGCCGCCCCTGATTCCTATTACTCTTTCTGCCAAGTAGTGGCTTTATAGTGCTTTTCCAGCAGAATAAGGAAAGTGGTTAGGAGAAGCTAAAAAATTCCTGATCCCCATGCCAGCAGCTTTCTAGTCTTCTCCTGTGGCATGGAAAGTGGAAGAGTTTGATAGAAGTGAAAAAGAGGGACATTTTTGCAGCTGTGGCAATGGCTCCTTGATCATGATGGTAATTTTTGGCATTTTCTTGCTGGGTTGTGGAAAGTGGAAGAGGTTGTAAGAAGCTGAAAAAAGCCCAAATCCCCTCAAAACTCTCTACCATAGTGGCTTTTTTGGTGCTTTTTCACTGGGACAGTAGTAGTGGAGGGCGTCTGTGGTTCTTTTACATTCTCTAGGAACATTCAAAAGCTAGCCTTGAGAACTTTACCTCTCTGTGGAGAACCTAAAAGAACCACCAACTTCTTCTACTCAAGGTATCCATAGATCATAATTTTGGACCCCAAATCTGACCTTGACTTATACAGAAACATTCTGTAGGTAAAAAACATACAGTTGGAATAACATTTCAGTACCCATTTAAAATATTGCCTTTGTGCTATATTTCTGCACACAATTGTGTAAAATTATGTTTCATTGAACTCAGGTCTGAGAATGCTATAAATCCAAGGAATTATCCTTGCTCTCAGATGAATTATACCTTAAAAGTGAATGACTTCTAAGATATGAGTCCCCGGGTATTTTTTTCATTTTAATCCCCATCATCCACAACTAACATAGAAAAAGATCAGGGATATGCTAGGTGTGGATAAACAATCTCAAGGAACCCAAACTTAATGAATATATTTATTTATTTATTTATTTGTCGTGTCAGAACAACCAGTCTAACAGAACAAAGCAAACAAACAGACAAAATACACAACTTGTGAGTTTGGTAGCTGGTTAAATGTTCTTTGACCAGTATCTGGCCACTTGGAGTGCTTCCGGTGTTGCTGCAAGAAGGTCCTCCACTGTGCATGTGGCAGGGCTCAGGTTGCATTGCAGCAGGTGGTCAGTGGTTTGTTCTTCTCCACACTCGCATGTCGAGGATTCCACTTTGTAGCCCCATTTCTGAAGGTTGGCTCTGCATCTCGTGGTGCCAGAGCGCAGTCTGTTCAGTGCCTTCCAAGTCGCCCAGTCTTCTGTGTGCCCAGGAGGGAGTCTCTCATTTGGTATCAGCCATTGGTTGAGGTGCTGGGTTTGGCCTGCCACTTTTGGACTCTCGCTTGCTGAGGTGTTCCAGCGAGTGTCTCTGTAGATCTTAGAAAACTATGTCTAGATTTAAGTCGTTGGCGTGCTGGCTGATACCCAAACAGGGGATGAGCTGGAGATGTCTCTGCCTTGGTCCTTTCACTATTGGCTGCTACTTCCCGGTGGATGCCAGGTGGTGCAATACCGGCTAAGCAGTGTAATTTCTCTAGTGGTGTAGGGCGCAGACACCCCGTGATAATGCGGCATGTCTCATTAAGAGCCACATCCACTGTTTTAGTATGGTGAGATGTGTTCCACACTGGGCATGCATACTCAGCAGCAGAGTAGCACAGCGCAAGGGCAGATGTCATCTTATTATTATTATTATTATTATTATTATTATTATTATTATTATTATCTAGCTATCCCCTGCCACACGTTGCTGTGGCCCAGTCTGGTGATCTGGAAAATAAAGTAATGAGATTCAGAATGCTCTTTGATTGTATGTGAACTATAAATCTCAGCAACTACAACTCTCAAATGTCAAGGTCTCTTTCCCCCAAACTCTACCAGTGTTCACATTTGGGCATATTGAGTATTCGGTAGAGTTTGGTCCAGAACCATCATTGTTTGAGTCCACAGTGCTCTCTGGATGTAGGTGAACTACAACTCCAAAACCAAAGGATACTGCCCACCAAACACTTCCAGTATTTTTGGTTGGTCATGGGAGAACTGTATGCCAAGTTTGGTCCAATTCTATTGTTGATGGGGTTCAGAATGCTCTTTGATTGAAGGTGAAGTATAAATCCCAGCAACTACAACTCCCAAATGACAAAATCATTTTTTTTAGTGAAGGACATACATTGGGTTGTTAGGTGTCTTGTGTCCAAACATGGTGTCAATTCCCCCAGTGGTTTTTGAGTTCTGTTAATATCACAAACGAACATTACATTTTTATTTATATAGATTTTCATTGGGGTGTTTTGTCCAGCTCTGCTTTAAACAACAAGTGAGCACTTTAAGGTGGCATCAAGTAGTCTACTGAGCTCATGTTAGTAAAGCATAATGAGATCTTATTTCCTCAGTATTATGGAAAAGCTGGTATGGTGCTCATTTTGTGTAGGAACTGAGTTCTTGTTTTCTCCAAAAGAAAGCAAGCAGTGGGGACACAATTTGAAAGAGAAACCCTTCTCAGTTCTTCAGAAACTATGGTAGCATCTGTTTTTCAACCAGGAAGTCAGTCTCTGTAACATCTTTAGAAAACTTTGTGACTTCCTGGAAACGAAGAAGAAGAAGAAGAAGAAGAAGAAGAAGAAGAAGAAGAAGAAGAAGAAGAAGAAGAAGAAGAAGACAACCGCGTTTTAGGGAAGTGTGAGCAAAATTGTCTGTGACGTCATTTGGCTGAAGAGTGTGACTGCGGTTGGTTAGTTTCTGGGTGACAGAGGAAGCTGCTCACCGGATGATAAGGAGACATTGCAATGTATGCTCATAGTATATTCTGCATTTGATTTGGACTGTGGCAAGGCCTTTGCACCAAGCTATAACAATTATTTTGCCTTCCATAGACAGGCACACACATGCTGTTTAGTAAGAATACACCCAATCCATGGATATAACCATGCTTTTGTGGCTTAAACTCTTGGCCTTTGGCTTGGCCCTTGTGGACGTGGGTGTTTTTGGAAAAGGTAAGAGAGTCATGACTTATTCATTCCTTTTGGAACTGTACAATCTTCTTGAAAACAGCAGTAACAACAAAGCCATGTTGAATTGTTAGAGGACTAAATGTTGAAAATTGTAGGTCTACTTATGAAATATTTCTGTGTTCCCAGGAAAGTTGGAGAGTGTCAGAACATTTGCAAGCTGGTGTCTTTGGCATTTTATACCACAGTATCTATTTGGGTGCAGTAATTTTTTTCTCTGCAGTGTTCATAAATTAGTTGCAGAATGCTATGCAATTTACATGCACTCCTAAGTAGAGAAAACAATGTAGAAATAATTTCCTGAAACTGGCCATTTGAAACATACTATTGGGGAATAGCACCCATAAAGGGAGCCCCCGGTGGCACAGTGGGTTAAACCCCTGTGCCGGCAGGACTGAAGACTGACAGGTTGCAGGTTCAAATCTGGGGAGAGGCGGATGAGCTCCCTCTATCAGCTCCAGCTCCTCATGAAAGGGGACATGAGAGAAGCCTCCTACAAGGATGATAAAACATCAAATCCCGGTGTCCCCTAGGCAACGTCCTTGCAGATGGCCAATTCTCTCACACCAGAAGCGACTTGCAGTTTCTCAAGTAGCTACTGACACGACAAAAAAAAACCCATAAAGACATCCAGTTTATTTCATAAGGAGATCTCCCTATCCAGCTTGGATAGCTATGTAATTAATAATAGTAGCATGTTCGTTACTTTTTGATATTTATTATTATTATTATTATTATTATTATTATTATTATTATTTGAAACACAACAAGATGAGTCCACACAAACAAGATCACTCTGTTAGCTGTTGTATTGGATCACACGTCAGACGCTTTCCAAGTGTCTACAGCTATGTGATGTATCGGCAAATAATGCATACAGATCCAAGTAAGGTGGCCTTCTGCAGCTGGCAGATGGTAATTTTGTCAGCGGCAATTGTGTTTAAGTGCAGGCCAAGGTCTTTAGGCACTGCAACCAGTGTGCCGATCACCACTGGGATCACCTTGACTGGCTTGTGCCAGAGTCTTTGCAGTTTGATCATTAAATCCTCATATCGTGTCAGCTTTTCCAGTGGTTTCTTTTCAATCCTGCTGTTGCCTGGGATTGCAACATCAACTGTCTTTTTTTGTTTTTTTAACAAAGATTATTATTATTAGTAGTAGTAGTAGTTGTAGTAGCGACAGCAGCAGATTTATTTCACATTGGTCAGGTTAAGTTTCTCTATATTATGTAGCATCTGAGTTGTCTGCATTGTGAAAATATTCACGGTGAACCAGAAGCCGCAATATTTCAAACCAAAGATCTGGAGAAGAAATTTTAATTTTAATTTTTTTAAAAAAGGAAACATTTAGCATTTCAGTCAAACACATATAGCATTTGGATTTACTAATTAGAAAATTAGAATTATTTTCAGACATTCCATTAGAGAGTTTTGTTTTACATTTTTTAAAAAGTAAATGTCATGTAAAAGCAATAATATAATACAATTTCCATTCTCTCTCCTTTAACAATTGACTTTGCTTGCTATCAGTCTTTGAGCCACTCCCTGTTCTCAGATCCTGTATTTAGTTCCTCATCTTTCAAGCTTTGCTGCATCAAATATCTTATTTTGAAAAAAAAAAGTGATCTGATCACATTGTGCATCATCTTGGATATAATTTTAACTGTTGGCAATTCATCTAAACTTACTGGAAAATTGGCTTCCTAAGTACTGACGCTACTGGTGCGGCTTTTAAACATTTCATCCAACAAGGGTTCCTACTTTCTCTTGAAATCCCATCGAAGAAATCTGATCCCCTCTATATTTATTTATTTATTATATGTATTTATTCCCCACGTTTCTTTGCCCAAGTAAAGGGGCTATCCTCATTACACTGTGGTCTGCGTCCTTCAGAACTGTATTTTAATTTTCACTATTATTTTCTATACACTTCCACTTTACATATTACTTTATTCCTAGCTAACTTCTAGTCGCAACCCTTAATCTGGTAGCCAAGGACATCGTATTTCCATCACAAAGCTATACAGGTCCGATATGATTTTTCAGAGGGTGGTTTGTGAGCGTCTTACTGTTGAAATATAAGAAACTTGATTGGGTCTCGGGGTCAATGTTTTATAATGAAGGACTGCCAAAGAAAGTTTATAATGAAGGACTGCCAAAGAAAGAAATAAGGAAGTTAAAAACAGAGAAATAGGTCCACATCTGGGTTTTTTTAAGTTTGTATTTTGGGATGTTAAGCATATCCAACACAGAAAACTCTATATTCCCTCCAAACTGGTTTTCTCAGATGTCTGCTTATTTACTTTTTCAAGTAAACATAATCTACTAGTGTAAACTGTAAGGAGATATCTTTGTATGATAGGTATTATCCAGATAATAAATAATCAAGCAGGGGGAAAGAGACCATTGCTTCATTCTTATACTTTATATTATCCAGGAATTGTGACTCTCCTACTTTTTGGGGAAATCTGTTCCATAGTTTATAGGTTCATTGCCAGTTTCAGTGTACATGTACCTTCAAGTCATTCATTGCCTTATGTTGACCCGATAAAGCCAAAGGGTTTTCTTAGGCAAGAAATATTCAGAGGTGGCTTTCTCAGCTCCTTCCTCTGAAATATAATCTATAATACCTGGTGGTTTTCTAGAGCTTACCCTGTTTAACTCCCAAGATCATATAAAATCTGCTACCTTTGAGATATTTAGGCCCTTTAGCATTATCGTTCAGGAAATAAAGCCTGACTGCTCATTGGAGGGAAGGATAGTAGAGGCAAAGATGAAGTACTTTGGCCACATCATGAGAAGAAAGGAAAGCCTAGACAAGACAACTATGCTGGGGAAAACGGAAGGAAAAAGGAAGAGGGGCCAAACAAGGGCAAGATGGATGGATGGCATCCTTGAAGTGACTGGCTTGAATTTGAAGGAGCTGGGGGTGGTAACGGCCGACAGGGAACTCTGGCTTGGGCTGTTCCATGAGGTCATGAAGAGTCGGAAACGACTGAACGAATGAACAACAACAACAACACCATTATCGTTGGTGATCACTTATGATTGTCTTCCAAAGATAAAGTCTTGACAGTGGATCCATAAATAACTGTAAAGACCTATTCTGGAACCACATGATATTTCACATTGGATTCAGATGAAAGGCAGTCAGGACAAGGGTTTGCTTGAAATTCCTTCTTGGCACATTGCTTCCTTCACTCTGTATTCGACTATTTGTGCCTTTTCAAAATCCATATAATTGCTGGTAACTCCATTATCAGTATGACATACTGATTTGGTTTCATTTCCCTGGATAGTTAATCTAATCTCAGGATAACACTATCCATTTGTGTAAATCAGCTCTGTAATTTCTATTGGTTTAAGACACTGCGAATACTAAAGAATACCCTCAGAGTTTCTCAGGAAAAAACATGGGAGAAAAATGTTGGAAAATTATAATAATAATAATAATAATAATAATAATAATAATAATCCTTTATTTGTACCCCACTACCATCTCCCGAAGGACTCGGTGCGGCTTACAAGATGCCGAGCCCAAATACAATAGTAAAACAATAACAACAACAACAGCAATAACTCAAAAAGACAAAGCAATAACATTAACAACACACTATGATGCAATTAAAAACAATGGCAGGGCCAAATGTAATGAAAAGTTAAAAAGTGCTGGGCATGACCAGGTGGGGTGTTTGGGGGGGGGGGTGGGCATATAGGTATCCTAGATCTCTGATAAAGTGCATTGGGACATAATACTAGGAGTTTCCTTATTCTGGAAAGGCACACTGGAACAACCATGTCTTCAAGTTCCTCCTAAAGATTGCTAGCGATGGGGCCTGCCTGATGTCTTTAGGGAGAGAGTTCCAGAGTCGAGGGGCCACCACCAAGAAAGTCGTATTGTCTTGACTTTATGTTTGCAACTTATACTTCACAGAGTTCAACTCTTGAGTTTATGAGACATGAAGAGGGACACTAATGTTGAGTAGTCCATTGTCTTGATTTTAGTTTTGCAAAGATGATGGACATTTCTTAAAGACCGATTACAGAAGGGTAGGGAAGGAAAACCATTTGAATTTCAGTTATTGATTTGCCCCTACATCTTCTCCCTCAGGCTTATTGTTACCTGTATGTGATCCACCTTTTTTAATTTCAGATTTTGGTTAATGGGGGACAATTAAAGACAACTTGAGAGGAGGCATATTTGTGGGGAAAAATGGTGCGCCAAAGGACAGAGTTGCTGAACTTCTAGTTTAATAACTGAGAAAGACACTTGATTAGGGAAATTTTGTGCTTCTTTCATGATTTTTTTGATATACTCAATAGTGTCAAATCTGTTTGCAGTCACTACTAAACAAAGAAGGATTTAAGTTCTTTTATGATTTTACAAGCTGGTTAATATTATGACAAATCAGAAATGGGTATGTAGGATGAAGAAAAAATCAGTTTCTATCAAACGTGTTTCTTACTGTAGCACCACTGATTTTATCTACAAAATTCACAAGAATAGTATCTTGGTTGAATAGCTTTAGATTTTCTGATTTAAAAATGCTGATGTAGTTGAAAATCTTTGAACAGGATTCCACTTGCATTTTAAAGTCAATCTTACTTTTTCATTCTTTGGAAGTTACAAATATACATTTTAAAACAAAAATTGTGTGTTGTCGAAGGCTTTCATGGCCAGAATCACTGGGTTGTTGTAGGTTTTTTCGGGCTATATGGCCATGGTCTAGAGGCATTCTCTCCTGACGTTTCACCTGTGTGTGGTTTTGGAAAGTATGCTTTGCAGTAAAGGGGGCAAAAAGAGAGAGAATAAAAAAGATAGGGGGAGAAAATGCACATGATAAGATTTTTTTGTTCGATTTTATTTATATATTTTATGGTTTTTATTGCTTTTCTCCACTCCCACCTTCCGCCCTTCCCCTTGGACATACAGTTTGCATAATAAAGTACAGAAATTACAAGTCTTAATCTCAATGTTTCAACTCC